GTTCCTGCGTGGTCACCCTGCCACTGCATCTGCGACGCATATTTCGATGCTTTGTAGTAGCCCCGCTCGAACTTCAAAGCGTAGTTGCGCCCGAGCTCTGGAGCTGCGCTCAGGTTTCGGAAGGTTGATGCGCTCCCGTTTTCATTCCTTGGGGCTCGGACCTCCTGCCAAATCGGTTCAGTTTCGCCCGCTGCCATGGTGAGGAAGGGTGTCCCTATTCCTTCTAAAACAAACACATTCCTTGTCCGAAAATTTATAGCCGGGGAGTGGTGGTTAATTGAGGTCGCATGTTGGGAGCGCCTGTGCCTGAGGCCTGTCCACGCATTGACATTTGCAAAACTGCGGCGGCCGGCTACCTTCCAAGCAAAAAACCATCAGGTTGCAAAAGTGGGGACCTTTACCAGGTGACAGATTGAAAATCCACCCGCCCCGCAGGCTGAAAATATTGTACCAAACGGGACAAAGGTGAAACCGCTGAAACAGTGCGCCGCCCAGTTCTCACAGGTTCTGCATTTTCAAACGCGGCCACTGAAATTAGGTCAAGCCCGTTAAGCTAGCAACTGCTAAGCGCTCCTTTTTACGCTCTTGAGCTGCAATGCTGCAAAGTGGCACCGCACGCAAAACAGTAGCATCGGGCGGTGTATTTCAACACCCCCCTCTGCTTTCACGAACGGCGCGTGAGTTAGCAGTCGTCAATGGAAGTGGTTCATGGGCACAAGTTTTGCAGCTAACGGCTCACACCCACACACCTTTTATGAATTCAGCCATCATACCACCACCATTGGTCATTCGAGGCTCGCGCCCACTATTCTCCTCGGTAAGCCACATATCGTCCCCAACATTGGCCACCTTGGGCAGCCGTGCGTGGCGCGCCTTGGTGCGCATCACGCACCGCTTTTGCCTTTATTTGGCGGTGCCTTGGCAAGTGGTGCTGCTGTACTTGCCGGCGTCGATGGAGGGGGGGCTTGGCAGTAGGCATTGGACGGACGTCGAACGTCCCAATGGCATTGATACTGCTGCCAATAGGTCTCCGGTTCTGTTGCGTTTGATCTGCTCCAGATGATCACACCTATCGGTGTCGTGGGTGTGCACGATATACGCACTTGGGATGCACAGAACAGCACCAGACTTCAGCTTCAATGGCGTTCATGCGCCAATTCCCGGAAACTACCTCTCCATATCGAACTTGCTACCTTGCCGGGTAAAAATGTGCTAGACCAGATTGCCGACGTGCACTTCCACCAACTAGTAGGACCGATTGAGGGCACCCCTGCTCAACTGCAGTTCGAGAGTGCAGGTCCTCCATCTTCGGCTTCTCCCATGTATTCATCAATAATCATCAATATATCATGCAAGTCGTGTTGCCAGCAGCAGCAGCAGCAGCAGCAGCAGCGGCAGCAGCAGCAGCAGCAGCCGCCCACACGCTCACCCGCGCACAGGGTGGAATTGAAGCCCAAGGGGGTCCATAAGATTGATTGATATTTTTTATCACTCAATTCTTTGA